AATATATTTGACGGGGAAAACCTATTACACAATTGAAAATTTTTTAGCCGATTATTTATATTAAATAATAATAATTACAACACCATAAACTAAAAATGAATATAATTATGATAATGAGCTGATTTATAATAATTTTGACAATGTGTTTTAGCTTATAAATTATTTTGACATGCTATTTAAGTTTTTGACATTTTTATTTTATACTAAATTTGTACCAATTATTGTTTTAATTTTATTTTGTATAATTTTTTGCAGTACCTATAGAATTTGACAGTGCCCTTTTCAGGTTCATGTACTACACTCTAGTCGTAATGTTAATAAACATTGTAACACCTGACTATATATGAATATGAATATGAAAAACATTGTATGTTTCAAGGGCGGTATGGGAGTTACGAACCTCGAATCCGAAAGCCCTCAGTCTTCGACTTCGGGTTTCTAATAGAGTCTCGTTCGTAATTCCTTATTTGCCGCCCTAATGTACTATTACATGCCATTAGCCGAGCGAGAACTGGACGTCAGCAGACAACCCATGCGAATCCTATCAGTGCGTGTCCGTTGAAAAAGACAAGCTAGAGAGAGTCACCACCGTGCAAACCTGCAACAGCGATTGCGATTTGGTGAGTTCAAATTATTTTCTCCTTTTCATTTTCACTGATATTAGAGAGAACTCGGAATTGCTAATTAACCTCCTAAGACCTAGCAAACTGTAAAACACTACACATCCAATGTACATTTAACTTTACGAAATATGATTACATGTTTCAGACCCCAGTACGTATGCACTGGTATGTAAAACGTATTTTTCTAAATACCCTATTGTCATTGTATATAAAGCGCTAAATTTTAATGCGATATTTGCTTTCTAACTTACACTGGGCGTTTAAGTGGTCATAGGGATAATGTTACGTAATAGGGCATTAGGAGGTTATGTGTTGCACTACTATGTGCCGTTTGCATAAAAACCACAAATGCATAGTTCATTTGTGTACATCAGATGGGAATGTCAAAAAGCTGTATAAAGTAGTCACCACACTCGACACTACGTCCTACTGGTATAATGCAACGCAAAAGTTTAAAAGTGTATAAATTGCTTTTCTTATTATTTTGCAAAATATAATTGTTCGAACTATACGACTTTCATTAATAAACCTTAATGTATTTCTACTGTTCAGGGCTGGCAGTACTCCCCGGCGGAACCGAATAGCGGCAAGTGCTGCGGCAAATGCCGCCCAGTGGCATGTGTATGCGAAGGCATCGAACACCCCGTCGGAACGCGATGGCACTCGGCTGATTTCTGCACTCACTACTCCTGCGTCGACGTCAACGGCACTGTGAGTACTGTAAAGTAGCTTCAACAGCACATTACTACAGAGTATGACCTTGTATTATACGAGTCAGGCAATTCCCATTCCCATCAAGGTACATATAGAAACATTAAACTAAGTAATACAAGAAAATATGTATAATACAAAAGGTAAAAAGAATTAGGCCGTGAAGTAAGGATTCCGGAAGAGTATGAGTTACAAGGTCGCTAAAAGAGACCTTGTATTATACGAGTCAGGGAATTCCCGTTCCCATCAAGGTACATATAGAAACAATAAAACTAAGTAATACAAGAAAATATGTATAATACAAAAGGTAAAAATAATTAGGCCGGGAAGTAAGGATTCCGGACGAATATAAGTTACAAGGTCGCTAAAAGAGACCTTGTATTATACGAGTCAGGCAATTCCCGTTCCCATCAAGATACATATAGAAACAATAAAACTAAGTAATACAAAAAAATATATATAATACAAAAGGTAAAAAGAATTAGGCTGGGAAGTAAGGATTCCGGACGAGTATAAGTAACAAGGTCGCCAAGAGAGACCTTGTATTATACGAGTCAGGGAATTCCCGTTCCCATCAAGGTACATATAGAAAGAATAAAACTAAGTAATACAAGAAAATATATATAATACAAAAGGTAAAAAAAATTAGACCGGGAAGTAAGGGATTCCGGACGAGTATGAGTTCACACAAGGTCGCCAAAAGCGACCGAGATCGAAGAGACGAGTCAGGCAATTCCCGTTCCCGCCAAGGTATATAGTGCTTTTCTCAACCATAGCGAAGAAATAATAAGAAACAATGAAGAAGAGATGAAGTAAAAAGTATTAGTACATTAGTAATGAGACCGGGAAGTCAGAGGTTACCGCATGAGTATGAGTTACAAATGCCGAACGCTATATACAAGTTCTTTTCTCAAACAATGCAAAGAATAATAAAACTAAAGAATGAAGGAAAAAAATTACGCATATAATTATTAATACAAAGGTCGAATACTAATTAAAAATTCCTTCGATCCGGATGGATTCGAACTATCGTCTTCCAGCAAACGTACATTGTACATATGAAAATAACATTTAAAAAGCTTGTTGTTACAATTGATCAAATTAAGGATATGTAAAAAACACCAAAGCTCTGTAATATATTTACCACATTTTTTATTATAATATGGCGAGGCGTATTCAAGTACCATAAATAAAACGCGAGAATATAATACCATAGACATTTTTTTTAAATCTCGCATTCATGGACATTGACGCTATTGAGCAGTTTTTCTTTAGTCTAGGGCAGTTGTAGTGGATATTTAATTTCCTGGTCTGGGCCAGCAAAGTGTTGCAAATTTTAGAACTACCTCTTTACTACCATTAAGAATATAGTATAGCTTTTCGGATCTATGCGAATATAGTTCTTTCGCGTCTACAGTCACATCTCTATATTTGTACATGTACTTTTATTTACAATTGTTTAGCTCCAAGTGCAAAGCTCCAATGATACCTGTCCGGAAGTGTCAAATGCGATGAGGGAGCAGTTCAAGTTAAAGGAGGAACCCGTGCCTGGCAAATGCTGCAAGTCGGTCGAGGTGGTGGCTTGTCGTGTCGGTGACAAAGTCTACCAGGTAACGAGTCATTGCAATTTCCTGGTCTATTAACACAACATATACATAGACACACACAACACATTTGAAATGAAAAACAACTCTAATTTGTTAATAGTGTTAATAGGATGTCGTAACTTTATTTATCACGTATTATACGCTAGTTACAGTCAATTAAAATCTAGTCTACCATACCCCATATTTCTTAAGAGGGAGCATGCCAAAAAAGTTTTAACATTGGCTCCGCCCAAATTTGTGAAACAAATATATGCCTGAAGTTCACGTGACATGCGACAGAAGATGTTGAATTTTGCGCATTAAAAGTACCAAATTCGTTTTAGCGGAATAACTCTAAAAGTAAAGGTATTTAAAAAAATCCCTAGTGACAGTTCTCGATCATGCATAAATATAATTAATTATCTAATTTTTGTCCTAATAACCTGTAGCATTTCGAGGATGAATCGATAAAATGTGAAAATTAGAGGTCATTTCGTGATTTTTATCTATCGAGGAAACTTTATTGTTTTATGTTTCTGATTAGTGTCTATGCTTGAATATATCGTGTAGTTACTCATACAATATTTTACTTTTAACTTTAAAGTGGATATACCCCTCTAAAATCAAATCGAAGATTACGAATTTTCCCTCTGCTCCCTCTTAATAGTTACTACAGTACCGGCACGCTGATGATGATGGCCGTTTTGACAGATTACAATAGTGAGGTCAAATCCCAATTCATTATCGAAGATAATATAATCAAATGCGAGTAGCATCTATAAATTTTTAGATTTAGAACTAGTATTGCAAGGGGTAGCTGATTAAAAAGTTTTAATAAAACGAAAATAAAAATGTTGATTTAATATATCGTCAATCCGAAACTGCTTTGTTTTGCATTGAGCTTTGACGGGAGCAGAGAACAAAAAAGTAACTGGAACGGACACTCTCCGCCCCTCCCTAGCTTTAGATACCGCACTACGCCCCGCACATTGACTGAACGACGACAAGGCTGTCGGCCGTTTTAGCGCTAGAACGACTTTGGTATTTGAATATAGTTTTCATTTATTCATTACGAAACTTGTACGTTAATATATAACATCATTTTAAGTTACTATTTATAATGGTCGTGAATTGTGCTGTGTACGATTGTTTATAATCATCTAAACTTCTAAAAACTGAAACGAAGTAAGGAAAAATAACTTATGTCTGCGACTCGTTCAGTTATTGTTTTCTTTAGTGCAGAGTAATATATAATACAGATTTATTATATCAATATGATGAGACGCCATAACTTCGTGAGCTAGTAGACAAGGGTACTCCAATTTTCAATTTGTATTGCCGATAAATATTACGTAGTGAATATTTAATTATTACCTAGATAATGATAGACTTGGACACGCAATTTCAAATATTTTGGTTACCTTATTTAAAGGCATCTGTCCAAAATATAACATTTTAAGTGCTTTCAACATGCTTTATAAATAAGTCTTCAATATTATTCTAGTTACTGAATTAATGAAAAATTTAATATTATATATTATATATTACCATATATTCCTGGTAATACATTAGCGATACAGCTCTTATAAATATCAAATCTCGTTTGCACTGAAATATAGACTGGCCAACTACTGACCTGTGTGTACGTCTTTTATATATTCCAAAAAATATTCTGTATTTATTGTAATATAGATAATATCTCTAACAATGCCGTGCTGTTCTATTCGGTGATATAGGAAAAACAGCAAAACATCTAATTAGAAAACAAACGGAATCACATTTCATCGGTAATTAAATATTAAACATGTAATTTTGCAATTTTCGTCCATTATAGCAAAACTCAAGTTAACTGGTCGACTTGAAGTGAAACAGTTGACGACACCCATTGAAGACACCGGTCAATTGTTTCGAATTCGGGCTGGCCAATCGGAGCGCAGTTGTCACAGTAATGATATGGCAGAATATTTTCAAACAAATTAAATGACATATACGACCGATCGTGCCCAACTCGGTGAATCGTCGGTTCGAGTTCATATGACTCGCGTCTGCTATGTCAGATACAGAGTCGAGACCACTCAAGTCAGCAATCTAAAAAAAATACTACTCGTTCCATCGCTAACCCTTGTGTGGCAGACCACAGAGGAAGTTATTTCTAAATCGAAATTTTATTTGAATCAAATACATTTTTGTCAACCCTTTGAACGTGTAACAGGAGGGTCAAACGTGGCCGACGAGCGACCCGTGCAAGAACATGACGTGCGCCCGCGACGCGGACAATGTCCTCACCCATAAGGAATCGGTGGAGAAGTGTTCGCACGAGTGCCCTCGCGGCTGGAAGGCGCAACCACCTGAGCCCGGCCGCTGTTGCGGCGATTGCAAGAAGTACGCGTGCATTGTGGGCGACGAACTCAAGCAAATCGGTAAACACTCAGTACTAAGTAAACTACACACACCAGCACGATTGGCGGAACACTAGTAAAATTGACACTTGTAAAATTGAGTCACTTGTAAAATTTTCATCTTATTATTACACTAACTTTAACAATTATAGTAATTATGCGAAGTTGAAAAGGCATAAGTGGTTACTTGCACCCATCTTAGTATTAAATATTTTACAAACATTTTTTACAAAGTCGAAAATGGAAAAGGGTAATAATTGAATAATGAAGCGTAAGTATTAAAATATTTTAATTTCATATTTTTTAAAGTTTCGTCTTACTGCGTTTGCTTAAAGAATCTATGTTTTTTTCGTTTGGAAACAGCAGATATTATTTAATTTATTTTATACATTATTTCTTCGGTTTTGACTTTCTGTCACAAGCGCCCTTTCAACTAACAGTGGTAGTAACTTAGTTTTTCTTTTTTTTTGAAAATTGTCATTTAACAATAAAACTAACACTGAATAAAATATTTAAAAAAACGCCTATAGGGTATTTAGATCTCATTTCGCGTACGTTTGTTCATCAATAGTTATTCTTATGTTATCACATTCACATATTTTCAGGCGACACTTGGCAATCTCCGGACACGTGCACGACGTACGCGTGCGAGCGCTACGGCGACGACGTGTCCACGACGACATCTCGACCCATTTGCCCTGACGTGTCTGACTGCGACATCAAGAATCTCGTCAATGAGACTTGTTGTCAAGTGTGCAAGAGGAACAGCAGCTCGCTAACGGGTAGGTTCTTGACTGCCTATTTGTCCATAAAGTATCTTTTAGCGTAACACCACACCTGGCGGCGTTCAATCGCGTAAATTCAGCTCTTCCTATAACAAATTGTGTCTTGTGATAGACACATCAATCCGTAACACTTGTAGTGACACGCAAAGTTATAAATCGCTAATATTTGTTGGTCACCGCTACTACATTAATTTGACAAGTCCTATGTGCTTGTGATTTCACCAGCAAATTTTTTTCATACAAATTGGTTAACATCTTATTCAATTTGACCAACTTCTGTTGTCCGGATTCTTTTCTCCCGATACAATGAAATCATCCTTATAAAAAACTAAGTCTATCAGCTTTAAAAAAATAGTCTTCTTGCGTCCCGATTTTTTCTTCCCGTACAATGAAATGATCCTTACATGAAACTGAATCGATCAGCATTAAAAAAATATTAATCAATTTTTATGAACAACTCACGCTTGACCAAAAATTGATAATGTCAAAAGTCAACCGTGATCATGGGACCTGTAAAGGGCCCGAAACGTCAGTTTGTTTGAATAATGAATATACGCGATTTAAATCCGGAAAAATAGTTGCATTTCCTATGTGTAACAATCGCGAAAACCTAAGAACTCAAAATGTCAAAATTGTTTTCTATTTAATGGTTCCTAAAACAGTTTCCTTATTTTAGGTTTCGGATTTCCCCATACTGTCACTGTTAAAAAAACATTCCATAATCTATTGTCATTATCTACCAGAATATTGACTATTGAAAAGTGCAATAAAACAGTATCCACCATGGCGTTACAGCAATTCAAGAAAAAAAAAGCAACAAGAATTAACAATAACAACATAAAAATAGCCTAAAAAAACTAACGTTACTAATCTACACTTGATGAATTGAAACCCAAAATATGATGAAACTTATTTTGAATGTAATTTTTTCCATTTGTCCCATGTCCCTGTACTTCCACGAGCGCCCTTCTTGGTAAAGAAATAACAGAAATAGATATGTGATAAAAGTGGTAAGACCAACCCCCGTAGTGTGACTACGCATGATAGTCGCGACGCGCGCGATAAAAATGAAATAAGCGCGCGCTATTGGCTGTCTCAATCAGATCTAATTTATTTCAATTTTATCGAGCGCGTCGCGACTATCATAGCCTTAAACCGCAAAGATTTTAGGGTCACAGCCACTGCGCCGTTCACCTTCAGACATAAAGATAACAAGTCCCATATGCCTACTAGTTTCACCAGCATCTCCTTCAGAACGCAGTAGTACTCACTTTACTGCTGAAATAGGTAAGGTAATACTTCTCTGGACTTAGATCAGTTCCCATATCGTTTTTGCATAAGTTTTGTTTATAGTGACCCTCCCTATCAAGCTCTTATTTATGCGGGAAGGGCACTATGACCTGTACAAGCAAGCCCGCACAGGGACCTACTCAAACTCATAGAATCATTTATTCCACAGGTAAAATACATTTACACTTAAAAACGTCACATTTAAGCTACTGCTCGTTCACTACCACGACTTACCTGAGAAGAAACTCTAGGGATTGCTCTTTTCAAATAAACTTAAATGCTACGGTATACACTTTGAATCAAATTTGTGTGAATTCTGGAGCCATGTCGTCTTTCCATACTTCTTTATCTAAAACATACTCTTCAATTTTGTAATATGACTTTTCAATCAAAATATTTTTAATGTAGTTTTTAAACTTACGAAATGATTGTCTTAATATACATATATGCTCCGGAATCTTATTGTAAAAACGTGTACAGTTCCCCATAAAAGAGTTGTTTACCTTTGTTAAACGAAATCGTTGTACCATGAGTTTGGACTTAGCTCTAAGGTTAATATTATGGATATCTTCTTTCTTATTGAAATTATGTATATTTTTACGGGCATGTAAAATATTTGAGTAAATGTACTGTGATACCACAGTCATGATACCAGTCTCCTTAAACTTTTCTCTAAGAGAAACCCGAGAGCCTACACAGAACGAATCGCTCGTTTTTGCAATACAAATATGGTTTGAATATCTGCCGCTTTACCCCACATGAGAATCCCGTAGGACATTATACTATGGAAGTAACTAAAGTAAACTAGTCTAGCAGTACTAACATCGGTAAGCTCACGTATTCTGCGGACTTCATCCGGTTCTTAAAAGGCTGGGGTGAGCTGCCCCGGGTGAATCTGGACTTAGATCAGAAATTGCCGTTGTGAATTTGGTACGAGTACGTTCGTAGCATTATTCAAAGCCGCATCGTATGCTTCAGTATTGCCGTCGTGCACGCCGCAGCCGCTGCCCGACGTGGACTCGGTTGGCCTGGTGCGGGTGTCGATGGGGTCACGCGGGCTGTGCGTCAATCGGCAGCCGCTGCCGCTCTTGAAGGAGTGCGTGGGCACCTGCGATTCGGGCACTCGTTACAACAACAGTGAGTACTCAATTTATTTAATTATGGTTTATTTTTCTAGGCAATCAATCTCCTTGACTTTATTTAAGACTACTCAGAGGGGGCGACGGCCTGGTGAACTGTAATACAAAATGTTAAAGAAATTATTATAGAACACATTATACTTATAAATTTACATGTATACATACACATACTTATAGGTATCGTTGAGTTAATTTAGTTAGATGCCCCGGCTACGGTTACGTGAGCTAGCTAGCGTAGCTTCTTTCGCGGTGTAACCTCTCCTTTAAAGTCATGTATTTATACGCAGAGACGGGTAGCCACGACTCGAACTGCAAGTGCTGCCAAGTTTCCCGCTACGAGCCGATCACGGTGACGCTGATCTGCCAGGACGGCACTTCGCTGGCGCACAACGTGGCGTCGCCCGTCGCCTGCGCATGCCAGAGCTGCGGAGAGACGCAGTGGGCGGGGCAAGGTACACTACACTTTGTTCATCTCAGTTTGCAATACCGGCTTAGGTCATCAGTATGTCGTCGATGTCTAGTAGAAAGGGCGAAAACGCCATTTCGAAAAGAAGGATGGCGAAAGCTGCCCCAATGACGACGAAGAGCCGCTCATGGACTCTGTTGTCTGTGTATAATTTTGCGATTTAGTTTATGCCTAGTTATCAATATATTTTTGTATATTTTTAGAAGTCGGGAATAAAGAAATTGTAAAACATTGTATTATAAAATAGATGCAAAAACACAAGGCAATTAATTCAGTTTGACCATAAAGTAACTACTTTGTACTTAAGTTTCATTTTAAGCATGATTGAATGTGGTAAACATTCAATCATGTACGTGAAGTATTGGTTATTTTATAGTACACACATAAAACATTAAAGCTATGAAATAATCAATTAAACAGTATTGACATAAAGCAAAAAATAAAACACAATCTGACAAAAATATTTAGACAATATTTAAATGGGAGATAATGAAAGTTGCAAAGGAACGTTTTGACAAGAGACTTCTTGCCAATATCAATGTCACATTGATATTGAGAACAGTGTGACCATTTGTGGCAGATTTCTGCCATTAGAGCAAATTTAATTTTTATTCATTTTTATTGCTGCAGAACGTGATAAGTTATATTAAATGTGGCAGAGTTTGGCAGATTTGCTAATATTCGGCAAGGTTCTTTATTATTTTTGGGAACAAACTGAAAACTTGTTGTTTTTTACTATTCCGAACAAACATCTGAAGCGAAATACAGGACAATGTTATAAACATAACCTATATCAACTTTATAACCCCAGCTTCTACAGGCTGTACTCAATTAGCTTTTTTGATGCTTTGATAATGAATCACAAGTATTGGTAGGTCTCCTTAATGCAGGGCGTCAAAAACACTGCGTCACAAAATACACGGGATGTCATGATCCTTCTTTTTCATTAATGTTTTAGATTTTAAAGACTTTTAAATTTATTGGGTCCTGTTTTAAAAATTAAATTTTGGTTTTAATTAAGGGAGTCACCACACTTATTGCCGTAGCATCGCATTAAGCCGGTCAGAATAAGCTTTATGTCCGTGAACGTTAGAGCGAAATTTATTTCGCGTTCTGCGTTTCGTATCGGTTCGTACCATAGGTTATTCGTGCGAACGGGGCTCGATACAGGTCGGCAACGAATCAGGGGGTCTACTCTCGATCTCCGTCCGACATCCGTCCGAAACAATTACTGCCACATAAGCAATACTTGACCAAATGAAAAGACGCGTAATGCGAATGAAGCTTCATACTGGATACTTGTCTTTTAATTTTGTCGAATATTACTTATTTGACAGTAATTGTTTCGGACGGAGATCGAGAGTAGCCCCCCCCCCTGCTTTCTTCCGAATTTCGCGTCCGTACGCATACCGACGACAGCTGGGGGTCTACTGTCGTTCTCCGTCCGACATCGGTCCAAAACAATTACTGTCAAATAAGTAAAATTCGACCAAATTAAAAAACGCATGATGCGAATGAAGCTTCATACTTGATATTGTCTTTTGGTTTTTTTTATTATACAGATTACAAATTAGCTTAAGAACTAAAGCGATAAACCTTTTTGAGTTTTACCGTACATCGTCTTATCGTTTAACAACTCTTAAATAAAACAATGAGTTATTTTTCTGCTACATTTTTTCTAACGTAATTGCGGTAGGATATTCTTAAAATTTAATTTGATTTTAGTTTAATTTAATTTTGATTTGATCGAGTATTACTGTTTGCTCCGCATTCTGCAATTCTTCGGTCACATTGCGTTGGCGTTTCACGCAATGCCGGATGTTATGGGTACCGTGGAACCCCGAAGATTCGACCACAAAAAACATGACCCTGACAAATTTTCGAAATGGCGCTTTCGTCCTTTATACAAAACACCAATTGCAAATTGTTGAATTTGCCCAATGTCTAATTCGCAAAATAACGAGTAACCACAGTCTTTGTTTTAAGATATTACCTACTTTATTCGACAGAATTTGATTATCATTCATGCATTCCGCAGAATTCCTTTAAAAGAATCAAACAAATCAACTCATCCGTTGAACAAAGACCTATGTGCAAGATTGCTTATTCTCAGGACATTGTACATTTCGTTCGCTGTTCTTAGCCGTGAATATTAGATCGACGGTTGATCGATTTTATATTTCCCAAACGAAATAATATATAAAATTCTCATACACCTATAGCTACGCCTTATTTTGTATGTATTTGTCCTCTTTTCCTAGTATAATCACATCGGACTCTGTTCCTCGGATGAGTCGAAATGTTTTAAAATTTTAATTATTTACGGTAGTCAACAATTTTTTTTACTGTTATAGAAACCGACGAGGTACCTGACATATACCAGCGGATCAGGCCCAGACGATAATCGAATATCGCACATTCTACAGACTCAAGAAGGAAACAAATTTTGCCATAACCTGAAAAACTTTACACGACACTCAAGACATCATGGCTCACGAATGAGACCGCATTTACTTTCTAAGAGAACTAATTAATTTTATAAATATTTTTCTTCAAATTTTTATTATTATTTACTATTTACTTATTTAAATATATAATATTCCATTGGATAATATAAATTTAGATCTGGTGGCCGTAGAATCGTTCAAGTCTTTTATTTTTGATATGTTTAAATGTGATTTGTGCCGCTACTTCTTGAGACTCAAGTAAAGTTTTTCGGATGACGACGAAATTTTCAGATGCCTTAAAAGTAGAATCTGAACGTAACACGCAAGCAAGCAAGCACTATTCATTGATAAACACGTGAGATTTATTGGCCAACATGTTCGACGTAAATGGATGTTAGCCGACATCTGATATTTTTGTCCGAACATGTTCTCCATTGAGAATGGCGCTTTGTAGATAAAGTTAAGAGCACATTACACTTGACACTTACCGTTCTTCTCGTAAGTAGCATAGAGATGATTTTAGAATTTCCTACCCAGTGTTGCAGTTTAAGGCACTAGTTTTCAACTAATAAAATATTTTCTAATAAAATAGTTTTAAATTAGTACATTATCTGTTAAACTTTTGACAGTGTTGTTACCTGCTTTTTGTTTTGAAATTTTTGAGTTTCTGTCTTGTGACGCCGGGTCACATTTTAGTTGGAGAATACAAAACGTACCTGCGTTTTGCATTCTCCTTGTCAACTTCACTACTAAATTTGAATAATTTCTTTAAAAAAAAAACAAATCGACCCCTCCTAAGCAAAGTATCGTATGTCGAAATTGCCAAGTTTACAGGGAAGCGTTTTAAAGTTATGAATCCACTGAAAGGAACATAACAGGTGACTTCAGCATTTTTCAGTTTTATTCGGCAAACGGTTACTCACACAGAGTATTGTAAAATCCTACATATCGGTTAGATGATCTATTAGATTAGCTTTGTCGTGTTATGCTCGTTTCAGTGAATTCAGAACTTTAAAATGCTTCCCTGTAAACTTGGCAATTTCGACATACGATACTTTACGTAGGAGGTGTCGAAATGAGCATGTTGATCACATTATAATGTAAATAACAAATATATACATCAAATATTCGTGTGATTTTAATTTCCTGCCAAAGTTTACATCATCATTATTATCTAAACATCGAGAATTTGAATATGATAAAAATATGGCGTAAAGACCCCCACATATGAGACGATTTTTCTTCACGGCCCGTCGTTTCAAACTGATCGATAGTGTATATTTGTGTCGTTAACGACTAACTTGAACGCCGGGGGAGTAAAGGATCGATACGATTATCGTGACGATCGATCAAAACGAGGAGTCGTCTGTATATGGGGGCCTTAAAGTGGCGTGAGCACATTTTGACCTTATAGTAAAACTGAGGCTATCAGTGCAAAAGTAGTGTAACCCACTTAGGTTTGTTTTTCTACAAGATTATTTTAAATTATACTAAAGTACTTCATTATTATATATTTGAATGCTATTTTCATATATGAAAAAGTTTAATTATATATTTTTATTTGTAAAATACTGACAATCTTGCAGGACCACTATTACTAACATCATAAACAACAACTTTGGTTCCATTATTTTTGACAAAACCTAATAAATTTACCAAAAATAAACTTGTTAAGTTTTTGTTGCACTACCTGACACTTTTTAGAATTGTATTTGGTAGTAATTTGTTAAGTATAACCTCCCGCGCTTTCTTTTATAACCTCACAGAATTATCACCGTTTAGAGCGGTCTATTTAAATATTTTTGTATTTGTACGAAAGTAAAGTCTGGTAAATTATTAAGTCATGGAACAAAAGTTGTTGTGTATGATATTAGTAATACAGTCCTGGGAGGTTGTTGTATCTTACAAATACCCTTGTATAATAATTATGTATTTTATCATTTAATGTAATACTTGTAGAAAAAAGTCAATGTGGGTTACACCACTTTTGCGCTGATAACCTCAATTATTACGTCCCTTGATTGTATTTTTAACATTTGATCTAACAAATTTATTTTTCCCGCTTCTCCACCGGTGACTTGCATTAATACCGCCACCTAGTTCGACGCCGAGCGCATTTAACCCAAATCAGGAAACGGTTAATAAGGTTTTCTTTTACTTTTTTATGGTTTATTTCACGATACATATATAAAAAAAAGAAATTTATCTAAATTCAAAATTCTTTTTTCCTAAGTGACTTCATTCATTCCCCGGACTCTTCATTCTTCTATTGTAAAGATTGGCAAACTTGTAAATTGACGTGGGGAATTTTCAACCTCGGTGTATGTATATGTCTCAACCAGACTATGTCCTTAGAAAAATCCAGGTCGAAAGTAACAAAAAGCGCGTTTGCGAAGAATGATATGAGTGTATTTGTCTTTGCCAATCCGAGTCAGATGAAAAGCGTCATGGTACGTACTAGATATGGGCGTAAAATCGGTGTCACGAAAACTTGTTTTATTTTAATAAAGTAACAACTTCCTTGCCAATTATTTACTTCTTCTTCGTGTCGTCTTTCTTCTTCTTCGTAGTTACTTCCATAGTATAATGTCCTACGGGATTCTCATGTGGGGTAAAGCGGCAGATATTCAAACCATATTTGTATTGCAAAAACGAGCGATTCGTTCTGTGTACCGTCTAGGCTCTCGGGTTCCTCTTAGAGAAAAGTTTAAGGAGACTGGTATCATGACTGTGGTATCACAGTACATTTACTCAAATATTTTATATGCCCGTAAAAATATATATAATTTCAATAAGAAGGAAGATATCCACAATATTAACCTTAGAGCTTAGCCCAAACTCATGGTACCACGATTTCGTTTAACCGAGGTAAACAACTCTTTTATGGGGAACTGTATACGTTTTTACAATAAGAATAATAATATATTAATATAATAATAATAATTTCCAAAGCATATATTAAGTTTATCATTTCCTAAGTTTAAAAACTATATTAAAAATATTTTGATCGAAAAATCATATTACAAAATTGAAGACTACGTGTTAGATAAAGATGTATGGAAAGGCGACATGGCACCAGAAACCACACAAATTTAATTCAAAGTGCATTCCATAGCATTTAAGTTTATTTGAAAAGAGCAATCCCTAGAATTTCTTGCTCGTTCTTCTCAGGGAGGTCAGCGTAGTGAACGAGCAGTAGCTTAAATATGACGTTTTCAAGTGTAAATTTATTTTACCTATGGAATAAGCAATCTTTGACTTTGTCGAATCAATGCCAAAAACCAGTAAAAATCCTGTGTTATATTTCTTTGGCCTAGTAAGCAGTCACCTCTACGCCCCTATCTGTTGCCTTTAGCAGGTCTTCCGTGGGTGCAGCTGGTGGAACACAGTGGGCATGAGAGTAAGTGAGACGTACTTTGTGTGGGGGATCCGCAAGCAAAATGGTTTTGAATCGGATTGATATACCCCTTTCACCATGTATATATTTCTTTAATACAAGATTTCCTTACATGAACATATCAATTATTGTCCTCTAAACAAAGGAGCGACTAATTGTAAAATTTCGATTAAAATTAAATTCCACTTATCCCCACCAGGGAGGACAGCTGGTAGGGACTAGTGGAATAGGCCAGTAAAACACCGTTATATATTTGAAACGGCGTAACGACTAAATGTAGTTTTTTACTACTAGAACCGTCTAAATCACGTCTTATTTGGTGTAATCAGATCTAGCTGAGTATTGT